ATGAGTTTTATGGTCAGTTTCAATCTAAAATCACAGAACCTGCAAGCCAGTGTAATGGGCAAACAGCCAAGATGTGCTGCTTGTGGTTGGAGACTGAAATATTAAAATTGGAAACAGCAAGGAGGAAAATATAGTTAGATTGCTATGGAGCAAGAAACAGAAATGAAGCAGGATAATGACTTAGCAATTTCTGCCACCCCAATTATTTTTTCATAGGTAACACTGTCTTTAAATAACCAAAACAAAGCCTGTATACATGGACATCACCAGGTGGAGTGCACGGAAATCAAATTGACTATATTATTGCTAAAAGGAAATGGAGGAGTTCAGTTATAGCATCAAACATATGGCCAGGTGCTGTGGAGCAGATCACGAACTGTTCATATGCAAATTCCAAGTTAAGCTAAAGAAGAAGAAAGCCAACCAGTTTCCATATATGACCTTGAACATATACCCACCATTTTCAAGGAGAACATCATTAATTGCTTTGAAATTCCTGAACCGCATTGATAGAGAACCAAAGGAACTATGGAATGAACTTTAAGAAGTTGTTAAGGATGAATGTGAAAAGTGCAATTGTAATTTAAAAAAAGGAAGAATTTGAAAAGAAATTGCCAAAGATGAAGAAACAGAAGAAAGCAAACTAGATGTCTGAACAAATCATGGAAATTGCCAAGAAGAGAAGGGAAGCCAAAACCAAGAAAGACAAAGATCTCAGGAAGAAACTTAAAGAATTTCAGAGAGCTGTTAGAAGAGACAAGACTTCTGTAAAGATACTGAAGATGGAAATAGACACAGAAAACCAAGGAAACTCTTCCAAAAGATCTCTTAACTCAGAAGGAGGTTCCAACTTTGAACTGGTATGCTAAAGGACACCAATGGATAGACAGTAACTAATTCAAAGAAGATCAAACGAAGATGGAAGGAGTATACTGAAACACCATAGAGATGTCAACATCCAAGATACTTCAGAAGATATTCCCTCCTTCAAGAATCTCTAGTAGTAGAAGATGAAGTTAGATCCACGTGCTGGTCATTTTTTTTTATATATATATATATATATATATATATATATTGTGCCTTTGAGTCACTGTTGACTCCTGGCGACTGCCTGGACTAGTCCCTGCAGTTTTCTTGGCAAGATTTTGGAAGT